CGATTGATTGAGATAGCTGCTGGACTTATTGCCTGCTCCGTAATTTGCTAGGCATTTTAAGACTGAACATATGCTCCTGCATAGCTTCGTCTAGTCTGTAATTTGTCTCGGATGTGAGCGTGTGACTTTTTGATGTCTTGCAATCGTCAAAGTACACTAGTACCGAAACCACGTAAGCGAAATGTTAACAGAAAGGCTGTGATGACCAATAGAAATATTAAAGGTTACTTAGAAAGAGAAATTACTGTTAGACCCAAAGTGATTATAAAATTAAAAGGCCCAATGTGTCTGAAGAACATTTCTTGATAAACATCTAAGTTAGTTTCCCTCGTTAGCATCACAGCCAATTGCACGCATCACAGCCAATTGCACGCATCACAGCCAATTGCATGCATCACAGCCAATTGCATNTAATGTGCTAACTTTGTTATAGTAACTTGTTAATGTGCTAACTTTGTTATAGTAACTTGTTAATGTGCTAACTTTGTTATAGTAACTTGTTAATGTGCTAACTTTGTTATAGTAACTTGTTAATGTGCTAACTTTGTTATAGTAACTTGTTAATGTGCTAACTTTGTTATAGTAACTTGTTAATGTGCTAACTTTGTTATAGTAACTTGTTAATGTGCTAACTTTGTTATAGTAACTTGTTAATGTGCTAACTTTGTTATAGTAACTTGTTAATGTGCTAACTTTGTTATAGTAACTTGTTAATGTGCTAACTTTGTTATAGTAACTTGTTAATGTGCTAACTTTGTTATAGTAACTTGTTAATGTGCTAACTTTGTTATAGTAACTTGTTAATGTGCTAACTTTGTTATAGTAACTTGTTAATGTGCTAACTTTGTTATAGTAACTTGTTAATGTGCTAACTTTGTTATAGTAACTTGTTAACGTGCTAACTTTGTTATAGTAACTTGTTAATGTGCTAACTTTGTTATAGTAACTTGTTAATGTGCTAACTTTGTTCTTGTAACTTATTAATGTGCTGGGGAGCCTGGGGAGCGCACAGTTCCCCGAGATGAGGCCACGAGGCACCATCCCCCTGAGGCATATTACCACACAAGCCCTCCTAATCATAAGTATTTTTATTAATAAAAAGACTCGTTATAAAGTACTCATTTGCTTATGAAAAACACATTTGATTAGATAAATAATAACATTATAACAGTGAGGGAAAACCGACGACGTGAAGAATACGGCGAGTTTACATGAACAATATCAACGCAAACTACATTAGGGTGAGAGTGAACGAACTTTACATAAATCCCGAGCAAATAATATTTATATCAATTTAAATAACTAACTCGTAAGAAAATCGCTCAATAACTCGCTGTCGATGGAGGTGAAGTGTGAAGAGCTGCTTTTTTGCGATTGTCTAAAAACTTTTAGCAAGAATGTAAGGTAATCCAACTCAAAGCAGAGCAATGAAATTAAACACAAAGAAAAGAATGCACAAGACTCATAGTATTCATATGAATGTGAATAAATTAATTCATCTAAGCTCATGACAATTGAAAAGAGTCCAGAAGATTGAACCTGAACCATATAGGAATGATGATTTACATATCGAACATCTTTATGTTTGAACTATAAACACCTAAATATTCATGGCTGTAGAAACTTTCCGCTGCCTAAAATTTTTTTAGGCAGGAATAATGATGAACCTGAATAAAATAAAATGAACCTGAATAAAATAAAATGAACCTGAATAAAATTCATCATTAATAAAATATGAACCTGAATAAAATAATGATGAACCTGAACCACACAGGAATGATGATTTACATTTCGAACGGCATAATGTTTGAACTATAAACACCTATACATAAAAACTATTTATTACAAAATGACGCATGAAACATTGTACCGAGCTTGACTTGCACGATGCACCGATATCAATATTATTATAAAATATTGCTATGGAGGAGGGTTTTCTAATGCAAGGCTACGATCTTAACACTAAATATCACTGCATTACTATTAGCTAACATAGCAATACAAAGCTTACGTCGTTCATTTACGCTCATACTTGCTGACATAGTTGTTATCATACATACTTATTTGACATACTTATTTGACATACTTATTATCGTACATACTTATTTGACATAGTTGTTATCATACATACTTATTACCATACTTATTTGACATAGTTGTTGCACAGCGGCTAGGCCGTCGCTTATGTTCTGTGAGAAATGCTGTACGAATGTCAGCATGACGTGTTGCAGCAACAGTCAGCATGACGTGTTGCAGCAACAGTCAGCATGACGTGTTGCAGCAACAGTCAGCATGACGTGTTGCAGCAACAGTCAGCATGACGTGTTGCAGCAACAGTCAGCATGACGTGTTGCAACAACAGTCAGCATGACGTGTTGCAGCAACAGTCAGCATGACGTGTTGCAGCAACAGTCAGCATGACGTGTTGCAGCAACAGTCAGCATGACGTGTTGCAGCAACAGTCAGCATGACGTGTTGCAGCAACAGTCAGCATGACGTGTTGCAGCAACAGTCAGCATGACGTGTTGCAGCAACAGTCAGCATGACGTGTTGCAGCAACAGTCAGCATGACGTGTTGCAGCAACAGTCAGCATGACGTGTTGCAGCAACAGTCAGCATGACGTGTTGCAGCAACAGTCAGCATGACGTGTTGCAGCAACAGTCAGCATGACGTGTTGCAGCAACAGTCAGCATGACGTGTTGCAGCAACAGTCAGCATGACGTGTTGCAGCAACAGTCAGCATGACGTGTTGCAGCAACAGTCAGCATGACGTGTTGCAGCANCCATTCAGGACTCGGCCAGTCAGGACTCGGCCAGTCAGGACACGGCCATTTCAGGACTCGGCCAGTCAGGACACGGCCATTTCAGGACTCGGCCAGTCAGGACTCGGCCATTTCAGGACTCAGCCATTTCAGGACTCGGCCATTTCAGGACTCGGCCAGTCAGGACTCGGCCATTTCAGGACTCAGCCATTTCAGGACTCGGCCATTTCAGGACTCGGCCAGTCAGGACTCGGCCATTTCAGGACTCAGCCATTTCAGGACTCGGCCATTTCAGGACTCGGCCAGTCAGGACTCGGCCATTTCAGGACTCAGCCATTTCAGGACTCGGCCATTTCAGGACTCGGCCAGTCAGGACTCAGCCATTTCAGGACTCAGCCATTTCAGGACTCGGCCATTTCAGGACTCGGACAGCTCATGGCATGCAGCAACGCAACACAGCATACCTATGTTGGATTTCAAATTATTTCATTTGCTTTTACTTTAAACCATTTTAACAAGAGATAATTATAGCTTATAACTATCATACTAAAAGTCGCTGGTAAATTCCGGCTGGTGAAGCAACATTACAACGATGAACTGTCCTCCAATGAGCTGACCCTCCCATATACTATTACTAAGGCTTAAACTAAGGGAACGTTAATATTTCCTACAGTTAAAACTTCAACAGTACAAACAATGATAATAAAGGCAATGAACAATATCAACGATCCAGAAAGTTTTAAACTCACCACATGAATCTAGAAATAAATAAATCTAGGCGAGATGGATGACTGGAGAAAGGTAAGAGTTTAAATGAATATAAGTCAACAAGACAGTGAATCAAATCTATGAATGAGTGACGCCTTTCCTTGCTACAAGAAGGTTAAGTACAGGGTGCTTCTTGATGTACTCCACAGCCTTCTTGTGTGTAACCATTGTACAGTCGTACTCAAGTCTATGAATGATGACGTGTTGCAGCAACAGTCAGCACGACGTGTTGCAGCAACAGTCAGCATGGACGTGTTGCAGCATTGGTCATTCGGATCCACATAAAAAAATTATTAAAGGCCTCTGTTGTTCTGCAAGAATTTGTCGATTTTTTTAACTGCATTGAAAACCGAGCGAGTGGTACACGTTTTTAACTGGGATTTCACCGCACATGTATGAATAAATCATACATCTAATAACTAATTTTACCGCACATGTATTTCAAGCTATTTATCATCTTTTAGGTACTATTGTTAATAATTATTTTTGCTCTTAATTTCATTCTTCCGCAAATTTTCTGGGACGTGATTAATAAATAAATCATACATGTAATCAATAATGAAGAATAAATCTCAATCAATACAGAATAAGTTAATGATCTTACAAATTAATCCATTTGATACAAGAAACATATTCTTTCTATATGTTTACCAAGGGCATAGCTAACTAGAATCAAACTCAATGAATTGGAGAAAATGTTGGTCAAGATGCAGTTTGTAGCAGGGTTGGGGCACATAGCATATTTGTGCATGGCTGCTTTCTATTAAATTAAACCTAAATACTTATAATCACAATTAGCTACTCTAATTAATGACTGTTGCATTAATGAGACTGTCTCATCAAGACACCAATGAGCAACGATGGCAGCATTTCAGGACTCGGCCAGTCAGGACACGGCCATTTCAGGACTCGGCCAGTCAGGACTCGGCCATTTCAGGACTCGGCCAGTCAGGACTCGGCCAGTCAGGACTCGGCCAGTCAGGACTCGGCCTGTCTCTTATACACATCTAGATGTGTATAAGAGACAGGTACATAACGTAGATGGATGATCTTAAAATAGACCATCACCTCACATGTATACCGATATTCAAATCGAACATAGAATCGAAATTGAACACGGAACAAGTTAGTTAGTTTAGTGGTCAAATGTGCACTAGCGCTTCAGCTAGTTAGCTATCTCGCAAGGAAAGTCAAGATGAACAGCACCAAAGACGTGAAAGTTTTCAGCTAGCGAAAGTTTCTTGAATCAAAAAATGGTTCATCACCCACAAGGGGCGGAAGGTCTCAGTATCCAGCTCGCCGAAGCTGGCTATAAAGAAGCAGCGTTAGCATCTCAACGAGACGAAGTGACAAGGAGGGACAGGTGANCTGATTTTTGGTGGAGAGATGGAGAAAAACATAGGAAACAAATTCTGACCTTTCAAAATTTTTTAACTCTATTACTTTTCGAGTTACAGCCATTCAAAGTTGGGTATCGTTTTTTTTGGGACACCCTGTATATCACCATGTTCCTACTCAGTGTGGAATTCTATATAGGTAATATCTTCTCACATTTACATCTGTCTCTTATACACATCTAGATGTGTATAAGAGACAGTGTCTACAGAGACCAATTTTGAAGCCACATCTCATCACCTGGAAAAAGTTATCATTTAAACTAAACATAATCTATAAATTGTAACAATCATACCAATTTTACGGCCAAAATTAAATAAGAAATATATCATCATTGTCTACAGAGACCAATTTTGAAGCCACATCTCATCACCTGGAAAAAGTTATCATTTAAACTAAACATAATCTATAAATTGTAACAATCGTACCAATTTTATGGCCAAAATTAAATTTAGAAATGTATCATCATTGTCTACAGAGACAACACAGTTACAGCTCAGAATAATACTCCATCAAGTTTATGGAACATACAGACCAAACAAACACAAAAAAATAATAATAATAATTCATGACAATGTAGGAAAAATATTCATTTTTTCTTTTGAATGCACTGATACCTGCCTACACATAGCCATCTGTTAAGTCAAGTCTTGCAGAATGAATAATAAAATGGATAATATGTGAACCAATGAAACAACTATGATTCATAATGGATAAGAAAATAAGGAAGCTGAATATAATTTATTAAAATATACTGGTGAACAGGGATTACTGTGCATGACAAATACTACATAAATAGATGTGGTTAAAAAAATTATGCAATTATAAATTTGAACAATTTCAGTTAGCACATCTATCATAAGGCTAACAAATTTTCAGCTGAAAATATCAGTAGTATCTCCCTTGGCCTACTGTCATTTGTTAACAATTAAATACCTATGTGATAATAATTCATCAGTCAGGATTCTTTCCGCTCTAAAAATCGTGGGAAAGCTCTATTCATAGCCCAGGGAGCCAATCTGGAGCTCTGAGTTAATTTTCCAAAAAATCATGGATAAATGAACTATTGTTTAATGGGCAATTTTTAAAAATCACTGGCATAAATGTGTCATTTTTCTAATTTTTATTATGAAAGAAATTATGCAAGTGCTATATGAAACTGAAATTCACTGCAAGTATACATGTTGGTTTGAACTCAATTTTAAAATGTTTGAATCGTGCAAAGTGTAGTACTCATCTATAACAGTTACCGTCAAACTGGGTAAAAAGGGACGGTTTTGAGCGTTTTTTTGTTAATAACTTCTTACCATTAAACATTTCAGAAACAAGTTTAGGCTTAATTTATAGCTCTTTGCGAGGGCTATCCAATGGCATCTTCAAAAAAATTCCATATGCTATTTGTAAGGTGCCAGATGCAAAATAAAACCGTCCCGATTTACCCCTGGGAATGGGGTAATCCGGGACACTTGCAATAAAAGGTAATTTTAAAACGTTTGAAGCATGCAGAGTGTACTCATCCATTACTAACAGTTATCTGAAGTCCTCTTCTTCTTTTGCAGATGATGTAGATGTAAAATAAATGACATTTTCTGTTAATTTTACTTGTTTTTACTTTATTGATATATTACCTTATCCATACATTACTGTATTATTGATGTGATATTACCATATCCATGGACATGCCATTGAGCATTGACAACGACCTTGTCCACTGCAAGCTTCATATCAGCAGCCATATAGCATTTCTTCTGTGTCTGTAAGCTTACACGATGGCTTGTAATTTCACATAGACTAAAACACTCTGTTATGCATGTCATCCTCCTAAAAGAAAACAGAAACAATGTACTAAAACATTCGGCCCAGTCACCCTTGCCTTTTATTTACCCTCCCCTTTCTCAACCTTCCACTCTTCAAGAGTCAAGAACCCTCTCTTGTCATCCTCCTCCTCTCCCTCAACCTCCACACATTCTCCAAATATATCTTCAAACTCTCAAACATAGCTACAGTTGCTCCCTCAGTCAGATGGCCAGACCCACAAGCCACAATCATTGTCACCCACTCTGCACTTGTTCATTCATACCCCACTTCATTAATCTTGCCTCCCTCATTCAGAATCGCCTCCCTCATAGACTGACCACTGATGCGCTCTCTCTCATACGCCCCACATTCCATAAACAAGTGTTCCACACTTAGTAGTTTCCTTCTCATCCCCATCACACATAAAACATTTGTCTTCCCTCCTCTCATTCCACATGTATGTATATCCATTCACACCAAGCACCCCTGCCCTAAGGCAATACAGGGTGTCCCAAAAAAAAACGATACCAACTTTGAATAGCTGTAACTCGGAAAGTAATAGAGTTAAAAAATTTTGGAAGGTCAAGATTTGTTTCCTATGTTTTTCTGCATCTCTCTACAAAAAATCAGACAGATCGATGTAGCCATAAGCGTTTGATAGAACTTTCAGTGACGTGTGCTAAAATCGTGCTTGCGCAAAGTTTTAGTAAGATCATTTTGCATAATCATTACATTGTCTTGACATGTTTTCTTTTTGCTGTTTGATTTTTAGCGCATTTTCTCATTTATGAAAAAAATGCACTATTGTGCTCGCCATGTCCGTCTGTTCGTCCGTCCGTCTGTCCGTCTGTCTGTCCGTTCGTGACTTCATGTTTTCGTCGGCGAGAAAATGCGCTCTCTGTCACTCACTGCAGTGAGTACTGAGTTCCATTTTTTGTATCTTTGGTGAGACAAAAACATGGTAATCTTTGGTGAGAGGCAATCATGACAATCTTTGGTGATAGGCAATCATGACAATCTTTGGAGAGACACAATCATTACAATCTTTGGTGAGAGACAATCATGGCAATCTTTGGTGAGAGGCAATCATGAGAATCTTTGGTGAGACACAATCATGACAATCCTTGGTGAGACACAATCATGGCAATATTTGGTAAGAGACAATCATGGCAATCTTTGGTGAGAGAGAATTTCAAAACCAAAGATTGTCTCTCACCAAAGATTGCCATGTTTTTGTCTCACCAAAGATACAAAAAATGTAACTCAGTACTCACTGCAGTGAGTGACAGAGAGCGCAATTTCTCGTCGACAAAAACATGAAGTCACGGATGGACAGACAGACAGACGGGCAGAAGGACGGACGGACAGACGGACATGGCGAGCACAATAGTGCATTTTTTCATAAATGAGAAAATGCGCTAAAAAATAAAACGGCGAAAAGAAAACATGTCATGATAACGTAATGATTATGCAAAATGATCTTACTAAAACTTTGCGCAAGCACAATTTTAGCACATGTCACTGAAAGTTTTATCAAACGCTTATGGCTACATCGATCTGTCTGATTTTTGGTGGAGAGATGGAGAAAAACATAGGAAACAAATTCTGACCTTTCAAAATTTTTTAACTCTATTACTTTTCGAGTTACAGCCATTCAAAGTTGGGTATCGTTTTTTTTGGGACACCCTGTATATCACCATGTTCCTACTCAGTGTGGAATTCTATACAGGTAATATATTCTCACATTTACATAAGAAAATACATTGAAAAGCCTACCATGCTACATCTTCCACTGCAGTGACAATTGATACTGACTTCCACTGCAGTGTCAATTGATTATCTGAAACTGACAAATTTGTGCAATGACTATGTTCTAAAAAAAAATTATATCAACTTTTGTAAAAAATTCTCATGACAATAAGAACAAAATTTTTGATACCAGTCATACCACACAAAAAGATGGGATTAACTGCAAATCTTTCATGGCATATGGGCATATCATGCTGCCATGTAAACATTTGACAAGACAGTGTCACACACCTTGTTTTGGTCCTGTCAAGTTTGATTTCACAATAAATATATTTGATACACATTCCACACTCAGATTTAATGATGGAAGGTTGTTTCAAAATTAAAACACCTATTGATATGCTTTCATATATTAATTTTTCAGGTTATTGCCTTATTATTTTGCAATTATCTATTAACTTCACTTCAAATTCTGAATTATTTTGTCTCCTATCATGAGTTTTTGAATGTCTTGCGTCCATGGTGGCAATCCATAGGTTATTCAAAAGAACCTGTTCTTATGTCATTTTGAACCGATCAACGCTTCTTTACGGACCGATCGTAAAACACCTTCACCGGCAAAAGCTTTTGCACTTCTGAAGAAAGTCAGCTGACAGCTACACTGGCCGTGGGGCGTGGTGTACCGAATTTGAATTTGAATGCATCCACTTGAAATCCTATCGACTCATTCGACTGTATAGTATACAACTTACAAGTCATAGAGCCTAAATTTTAAATATCTCTAAAAAAATTTACGTTTCTGCATGTATTATAATGCTGTTAACATTAGCAAACTTTGAATTATCTCTGATGCAAGAAATACTTGCTTAAATCATTTTATTTTCAATNAAAAAGAATTTTCTGGTCTTCAATGAACTATGTATGTATCTACACTATCTATCTATGTATCATAATGTATGTATTTATCTACTTGCAAGGAAGAGAAGACAGTACAATGGAGCCCGGTCAAGCGGGTCAAGCGTCCCTAACGCGTCACGATGTAATGTAAACAATCCGACCAAGAGTAGTAGTAGAGTAAACTTGTACAATTATGCTAAAAAAATGTGTTTGTAAAGCATTTAAAGTGAAACAATAAATTAAATAAGGTTGCTGAAGATTTTATTTCACACTGTTGCCAGTGGTGTTTCGGTGTTCTCTCTTCTGCTCTGCCTTGCTGAAGATTAGAGAAAATCGTCGCCGAAGGTTCTAGAAGGTTGCCAAATGTGTTGATCAGTTGGAGCTGTACGCTGGTCAGCTGGATGCCACATGGCCCAACATCCTGCAGACTGAGGCAGCTCATTGGTGTTTTGTTCTTTCGTTTTTCTTCCGTTCTGCTTTTGCGGAAAACGTCGCCTCACAGAAACCATCGTTGGCAGCATAGCCGAAGCTTCTGGAAGGTTGACTGCGTCGCCGAAGCTTCGGGAAGATTGGTAAATGGCGTCGGCAAGATCTTCAAAGAAGTAAATTTGTCTGCTAATTCGTCTCCGAATATCTTTCAAATCTTTATCACTCTCTGCATAGTGGAACATAGTGAATGAGATTACAAAAATAATGGCAATTGGCAACTAAATTACACTAACAAATAGTAATACTTGAGCATTAAAAGGTTCACCTGCTGTCCTTGTTGATCAATCCCTCCCTCTTTCTCAAGTGTGATGGGTATACTAAGGCACTCCATGGCTGTGCCAGCTTCATGCTGAAATGCAGCAGTTGTCATCTTCCAGGTTCCGTTCAAGCAGACTCAGCTCAAGACAAGCAAATGCTAGATTAGATGCCAGTCCCTAACTCTGAAACAAATTATAAAACAATAATTTTCATTTTTCAACAACCAAAAATTAGTCAATATCTCCATTCTCCATGAGGACAATGATGAGGTGGGTGGAGGTAGGGATAAGGGATGGGATAATTGGGATTCCCTAATTATATCTAATACCTATGTCAATTATAGCTAATGTGCCATTCCATTGTCATCATTATTGCCAAGAGTCCAAGCCTCAAGTTAATGTTACAATTATTGAATTTTACTATACAATACCTGACAAAACCCACAAATTAGGTAGCCTTATGGGAACAGTCTTCGAAATACAATTGTCTTGTCACTATCTGCTGCATCTCTATAAGATATTTGACATTTTATCAAGATAATTGTGCCGTCAGACCTCAGTGCCCGTCACTTCTCTTCTCCGACCAGCAAGTTAGCCACAACCACAAACACAGAGCGCGCATAACTGACGATCCCCTCGGAATGACTGAACAGAACAACAAGCGTCCGTTATTGTTACAAACGGAATTGTAGACGTAAAGTGTGTTGGTTCTAATTATGTACTAAAAGCATCATATGTTTTGTTTTCATGTTTTTAAATCAGAAATATTTTAGTAATTCACCAAATCATTAGGCTATGTTAAAATAGAACAATCGTTTAATACTATCTATATTTATTTTATTTTCTCGGCTCACATCCTTCATGTTTAGAAGTTAATTTAAATACCTAATATATCAATAAACTGCTCAATAGTGTTTCAATTAAGCAGTTACTTAATCTTTCGAATAAAATTTGTACGGATCATGCCTTTTTTCCATGTAAGACTTTAATAAAATTTAGCGCTGAAATAATGTTCTGAAGGAGCACTTATGTGGTATACAAGTGAAGGTGTCGACCGCCAAATGGCGCAGTTCGCGGCGAGCAGTGTTATGGATAGCATCGTGCTTGTGAGAAAAACCGATGAGTGTCGCAGCTGGGTAATGAACTTTTACCTGATTAGCAAGGAGTACTTTAATTGTGAATGCTATAAATACATTATATCTTTGATCATTGATTTATTCAATGGGCATATGGCAGGAATTTAAAATGCTGCTGTAAACTACCGTAGAACGTGCTAGTATCAATGAAAATTTATATTTAGTTTGGACTTGCTAGGTTAAATGAATCTGTCTATTTTGTCACAGTTTGTGCTCACGATTTACTCCTTCTGATCCTCAACTTCTGCCCGAGATGGGCGCTATCTAACGGTAGATTTTTCGAACTTTACTGCTTCTTTTGTGTAGGTGTTGCTTCAAAGTCCCTTGAAGTGTATCCTATATACCAGGGGCCATACTTTTAAAAAAAAATAAGAGATCGTAAGTTCATCAGCCAATCATTGATGGCCTTTCAAGCAAAATCCACCAATCATAGACAAGAAAATACAGCGTAAGTACTTACGTTCACTTAGCGAGTTTTGAAATAAGAGATCGTAAGTTCATCAGCCAATCATTGATGGCCTTTCAAGCAAAATCCACCAATCATAGACAAGAAAATACAGCGTAAGTACTTACGTTCACTTAGCGAGTTTTGAAAGTATAGCCCCAGGTCCGGTTATCGCACAAAGTTATCCTGCTGCCTTACAATATTTCTGCTGATCTCTAACAAACTTCCGGCCAATGACATGTAAGCTTAAATGTCCGTAGATAACAATACATGTTGACGAATATTTCAATTCGAAAAGTACTGTGTCAACTTGAAAAATTTACAACTTGAAATCACACTGTAACACATGGAATCATTTCGATAGATAAGTTGACAGACGTTGTTTCTTGTTCATTGGTTGCGCATTCGTGTTTATTTTGGCTGGGCGCACCTTAGCTTTCTTAATAAAATAAATTAATAAATTTAGAATTTTTTACATTTCAAAAGGACTGTTCAAATATTATTAGACAATTATTCTGACTCCGCATACAACATTTGCGCTTAATGCAGTTCAAAAGTTTAAATCAATAAATTTACTTAATATTAAAGACTCCTGACTGCTTGCCAAGGTTGGCGCGAGGGCTGTTGATGACATCAAAACATAGTCCATTGAACACACATGTTTAGGATATTTATTATTTTTATTCTACAAAGAAAATTCATTTGACTTTACTTTAAAAATTATAGAATATCTTTGCTTGAGCATCGTGCGGATTTCTCATTTAAGTACAATATCTAATTTTTAAATACGTATATATAGTTAAGAGACCACAGTTCTTGTTTTCGTATTTTTCTTCTTGAATTAAACTGATTTGTTATTTCTGGAGCAGCTTTGAATTGAGCCGTTGGTGCGATGGTTACGATCATTGGTCCAGAATTAACTGGTAAAATTTACTCTCAGGGTAACACTGCAAATAAAGAAACTGCCAAAAATTTGCGTTTAAAAATTAGTTTTTAAAGACAAAACTTCTAAAAAGGCCAGCGTCTCCGATATTACACATGTACAATGAATTTCTAATTTGATTTTTTAATACTTAGAAATTTTTTTTATTTTTTTTAAATATATAAGATTTTAAAAGTTTTTAAATTGTTTATTCTGTCAATTGATTCAAGCACTGTCTTCGACTTAGCGCAAGTGTGCGAAATTTCAGATCGTTTGGACATGGAGAAGCGTGTTAAACATCGATTATAAGATTTGTAGCAAACAAACAAAGAACAAGAAGTGAAGTTAAAGAGAAGTGTTGTAAAAAGAAGAAGTCAATTGTCTTCACCAAGCTATATTTAACGAGCTGTGAGCTTCATTGGCGCCGAGAACACTGCGAGGAAATGAACTTTTTCGACGCCTACTATCGTGAGTACAACACATTAGTGTAGTAGTATAGTACCTATCTTCGGCATCGAAGAATAGGCCTGGATAGGCCTGTCGCCAATTCTTGTACTTTTCTTGACTAGACTGGCATTTTGATAAAATCTTTTCAACGGACGGTAGGTTTAAAGTCGTTTCAAGATTTCAGTTGTTCCGTAGAGTACGAGGCATTTTAAGACTGAACATATGCTCATGCATGGCCTTGTCTGGTCTGTTCTTGAACGCGTTCGTACTCGGAGCGTCAACAATATCTTCAGGGAGGCTGTTCCACATGTCAGTGACTCGAAGCGAGAAGAAATGTTGTCGCATGGATGAGTTGCATATGCTAATGTTTAATAGATTTTTTAGCTTTATAAAATGAGTTTTGATTTAATTATCATGTTTTTAATTCTAACGGCTGTGAAAGATAATTTCTTAAATCAGATTCAGAGAGATCATTTCTAGTTTTTTTAGAGTCCCCTGCGGTTAATTACGTGAATCTAAGCTCAACTGCCGTCCCAGCCCGGCCAATTGTTGCGTCTCACTTCAAATTTTTGTGTAACTAAATTTAATTCTTCGTCGTCCGGTATTTGGCAGGTGAACTTCAAGGGCCAAAATGGGCACTTGGAAATATAGCTTAATTTTATTGAACCACTATTTATACTATTTATTTGATTATTTTATTGATTTATAAAGCTTGATTTGCATACACTTGTTGGGTGGATGCGTGCGCAGGCTAGCGCTTATCTCATTTACTGCATGCCAGAGCCCTAAGCTTTCAAAAAAAGTTAAGAGATCGTAAGTTCATCAGCCAATCATTGACGGCCTTTCAAGCAAAATCCACCAATCATAGACAAGAAAATAGAGCGTAAGTACTTACGTTCACTTAGCGAGTTTTGAAAGTATGGCCCCGGAGCGCTAAGCTCTTGCTCCAAGCGTAGCAGCGCGTTAATCTTATGCTTTGGCATGACAATGCAGGGCTCATGCTTAAGCATGAGCATAGCGCCAGGCTCCCGCTTTATACATGACAGAGCGCTAGTCTCATGTTTTATGCATGCAAGCGCGCAAATCTCATGCATTAGCATGACAGAGTGCCCCGGGACTCGTGCTTTAGCATGACAGAGCACTAGTCTCATGCTTTAGCATGACAGACCGCTAGTCTCATGCATTAGCATGACAGAGCGCTAGTCTCATGCTATAGCATGACAGAGCGCTAGTCTCATGCTTTATACATGACAGAGCATTAGTCTCATGCTGTAGCATGACAGAGCGCTAGTCTCATGCTTTAGCATGACAGAGCGCTAGTCTCATGCTATAGCATGACAGAGCGTTAGTCTAATGCTTTAGCATGACAGAGCGCTAGTCTTATGCTTTAGCATGACAGAGCGCTAGTCTCATGCTTTAGCATGACAGAGCGCTAGTCTCATGCTTTAGCATGACAGAGCGCTAGTCTCATGCTTTATACATGACAGAGCGCTATATAGTCTCATGCTATAGCATGACAGAGCGCCAGGCAGGATCATTCATCAAGCATGTAGACATGCTCAAGCCTTGACCTCGGGCTTATCGTGGTAGCAACCAAGAGCCGCGGTTACCTTCATCAGACCTCACGCCGAGCTGTCCTTGGACAAGGCAGTCTGCTGCGCGGGTGTCCGCTTAATGTGCAGGGCCTATATACTTTCAAAACTCGCTAAGTGAACGTAAGTACTTACGCTCTATTTTCTTGTCTGTGATTGGTGAATTTTGCGTGAAAGGATGTCAATGATTGGCTGATGAACTTACGATCTCTTAACCTTTTTTTGAAAGTATGGGCCCAGGGCCTATACTTTCAAAAAATGTTAAGAGATCGTAAGTCCATCAGCCAATCATTGACGGCCAAGCAAGCAAAATCCACCAATCAAAGACAAGAAAATAGAGCGTAAGTACTTACGTTCACTTAGCGAGTTTTGAAACAGAAAAGGAGCGTTTTTTTAAAGACTTTCCAACGCAGACTTTGTTAGTCCGAGTCTTGCTGATGCTTGAGGTCATATTTTACAATAGGGTCGCCAGCATGCATGCCAAAACACTGCTGGTCTTGTCTTTCGCAGCCAGACCTACGAGTTCACTGATGAGGTTTTGCCAGAAATGGACATAAAAAAAAGTCTGCGGGTATCACCGGCCCAAGATTCGTTAAGAAATATGAGAGAATGTTTATGTGAATCAAATGTATATTTGAGAAAGTGTGTTTGACTGTTTGAAGCACGCCTTGTAGATGCTGCATGATCGAATGCATATCCACGTTACCTAATACTCGTGTATTTTGCTTCTATATGAGTGGTATCGTACGACATTGATAAGTGTCTAGGGGGAGGGTGAAGAATTAGATTACAAATGGAAATATGATTCTTACTTTCTTAATTGGAAGTTTTATTCTAAATCAAGAAGTTTAAATTTCTTTTAAACTTAGAACGGCACTTGAATAAGAGTTCCGTGCTAATGCTGGTTTAAACAGGTATTAAGTCGGAAGAAATAACTCAAGTAACTTAGGTCGGAAAAAATGATTGGATTCGGGATGACGGAAAGCCGGCTTCTGAAATGGCAGGGATTATTCATCACCGGTAACGCCAAAATACTCCTATCTTGCTTAAAGATTTTATTGGCGAACAGTGCACAAATGGTGCGTTTT